ATGAAGTGAGCCAATCAATTAGAGGTGGTCTGATACCCAATCGTTTGAGCTTATTGATAAGAAATATATGGGTAACCTTATCAAAAGCTTTTTAGAAATCAAGGTAAATGATATCGACATTCCCATTGCGATCGAGGATGCTTGTCCATCAGTCCGCCGCAGTCAGCAGGTTGGTTATACAAGAGTAACCGTTCCTGAAACCATGCTGTTGGGGTGAGAAGAAATTTAAGGACAGTAAATAGTCATGTATACCATCGCATATCAGGGACTCCATGATTTTTGAAGGTTCGCTGCCTCGACCTCCTTTAAAAATTGGTGATGTGAGCCAGCTTCCATTTTTCCGGTAGTTTGCCACGGCTTAGCGAGTGTGAAAACATCACGCCAACCGGCGTTGCCAGGATTGAGGCTACTTCCCTCAGTATGGCAGAATGAACCATATCTGGGCCAGGAGAAATGTCATTTCCTAGGTGCTGCAGTTTCTGGAACACCAAGTCAGCGCTCAGGTTCACTTCAGAAAGTTCTGTGCAGTCGCAGATGAGGCTGTCATCAGTGAAGTTGATGTGGGTCGGTTGAAATGTCGGAGAGTATTGTTCAGTCAAAAGGTTAGCGGCGTCGCCGTCGTTATTGGTCGGGCCGTTAAGACCTAGCAGTTGGGAAACTCCAGTTTTAGCTTGACGAAGAGAGGCTGAATAACGGAATGAGCCTTTCGGATTAGAGACAAATTTATCCATAAGCTTTATCTGGTACTGAATCCTGTCTTCTCTAATAGCCTTCGTGCATATGTCCCTTATATGTTTGTATTGCCTGTACGCTCCGTTGTTGTCAGTTCGTTTGTATTCTGCCCAAAAATGCCTTTTGCGGCTTACCAGGCGAAGGGTGCGGTTCCTGATGATTGTAGGTTGCTTGTAGCTAAATTGGACCGTTTGACGAACTGACTGCTTTGTAGCACATAAGAGAGTGTGCACTAAGATGTCCCAATGAGCATTCACATACAGTTGAGGATGAGCATCCCAATCCACCTTCTGTAGATAGTCCTGTAGAGCTGACACATTCAACCGTTTGAAATTCCAGTGCCTGTTGTTGGTGGGATAACTTAGCTCAGTTATGCTGACAAAACTGAAGGTCTTCAGTTTTCAGTATTAAGGGTAGTAGGTTGGTGAACCAGTTTGCCTTCCAGTGAAAGTCCAGATTCTCCTTGAAAATATTCACTGATGGGGCTGATACCACTTGTTTGGGTAAGGCGATCCAGATATTGACCACTCGATGAGAACAACGCCACCCCACTTTAAATTTATTAGATCGCGATTTGTGGACCTACTTGCTATGACCTCAGAGATTATTAATTACGGAGGGAGCAAAAATATAAGAGATATTGACACCTAAATCGTAACTAAAGCTACGAAATTCCAGTAGAAATTCACCCCGCATCCTACGATACGACAAGGGGAAAAGGTTTAGGCATATTAAGCGCTCATCGTAAGACAGTTTAGAAAGACCCTTAACTAATTTTGTTTCCACACGCCGAACACGCTCAAGTGAGTTAGTATCATTTATCAGGCAAGGACCAGTTGCTTGGATGCAGTGCTCTAAGTGTGGACTTACACAGATGGGATATAACATTTCCTCGTCAAAGCATTTGAATGCTCGGCAAAGTGACGATGACGCACGACAACCTTTGACAGCAGCTGTGTTGCAACACGTAGTTGTTTTCAAGTCATGGCTTATTATTACTCCAAAGTCTTCATGTTCTCGAACGCATGGAAGGAATGTGTAACAGTTTAGGTTGATTGGTTAAGAGTTGACCTCAAACAACTAAGCATATGTCAAAACAGTAGAGTTCAAGCATTCATTCACTTCCTTAGTTTGCAAAGGCCTTATATTTCCTATTATCTTATATTGAATGTCGAGAGACTTTGTTTGTCCGAACAGGTAATCTCACGCTCCTCTTTGACTTCGCGAAGATCTAAATAAAGACCTATCACTACTAGTCTGTTTTCTTCTGTCCATAGCACGAGGGTTACCTAGAAGCACGAAACTGGTGAGCGCGATGTACCATCAATAGTATAATTAAAACTACTACCGTGTCCGATGTGCATGAGCACACTCTTCCGAGAATTAACTTCTAAGTCCCAACCTCGAGCCCATCTAACCAATTCGTTTAAGTCAGCTTGGAGATCAAAATGCATAGCCTTAATTCTTATTGTTCTCCAGATATTTACATCATCCGCAAACAATATTGTCGACAACTCAAGCGAAAGCCGTAATTCATTAATGTATAGAAGGGAAAGTAGAGGGCCTAAGATGGTGCCTTGTAATACACCACTTTTGACCAACTTTCATTCGGATAGCATTCCATTGACACTCTCTTTCTATGGTCACATAAGAAGTTACTTATCCATTCCGAAGCTCGAGAGCTTCTGCATAAGATCTAAATGTGAAACCTTGTCAAACGCTTTGCTAAAATCTATGAATATCACATCGACAAACAGACCGTTTCCTAGGGTCGTTGTTTAATCCTCTTTCGCAATAAGTCAGTTATTCAAGTATGAACGCTCGTTGCGAAACCCATGTTGGTCGAGAGATAACAGATTGTGTAAATCCATGTGACTTAGTTCCTTGAACCGAAATATCTTTTCAAGTAACTTATCGACTATGCTGGTAGTCAGATAAGATTTGTCTCTGACCATCCATAAATAAAGGACTGATCAAAGCGTCTTTCAAGTCTCTAGGGAGTTGAACGAGTGAAAGAGATATGTTGAAGAGCGTCAAGGGCGCTCTTGAAATGATTTCCGCGAGATCACAGCAGTCGTGCATGTAACGCATCACGGCCCGGTATCTTACAAAGTTCAAGATTAGTTACCAATGAGAGAACAGTTTGCTCAGTCACATGTGCAGATCTTATAGCTGATATCTGAGCGGTGTTATAAGAACAAGTATTTGTAACAATACACACAGAGTTGACTCCGACAAATATTTTAAAATTCTTAGACTTTGCTCGATCTGATTCAGCTAGTAAATCTGAATTTCCGTGTAACAGTAACGGGAGAATACCATCACTACGTTTCACCCGCCGTTTAACACACGAAAACAATCGTTTCAAACAAGTACGGCAATATGCCAATTGTCGTTCGTAAGTAGTACGGAATTTACATGTATTCCGGATTGTTTTATATTCACATATAAATGATGCGTGTCATGTTGACGAGAGTGAGTCCCAGAAGTGTTTCATACGCTTCAATAGCTTCTGAGTTTCCTTAGTAATCCATGGAGGGCAATGTAATAGCTTACGTGTTGACCATGTGATAAACGGTGATATTACGGGCTCGAATGTAGCCTCAAAGTTATTCCATTCGTCTTCGATCGATCCATCCGTATCGACCGACTAGTCAGTGGATTGCCGGAATATTAGCTCGCCAGATATAGGGTCGGAGTGAAGCAGATACACGAGAACACTGAATAATGATTGATTGAAGGTCGCAATCGGAACACCCATCCGGTTATGTAGGCCCTGTCCGGTAATATGCAGTGTGTTGAGATCTCCAATGATGAGACAATATTCTGCTTTACTCCAACAACAGTTGTGTCTTAAGGTAAAGTCGTCAACGAGAAAACACGGACTACGGTACATTCCTCCTATAGCCACTAACCCGTTTCTAGGCGTAATTCTGCAATATACTACCTCACATTTGCCACCGATACAATCGACTGTATACGGAAGTGATCCCTAACACACAACACTATGCCTCCTCCCTTGCGACTTAAAACTCTATAACTTCCAATATGGATGTAACCTCCAATGATGGCAGAACAGTCTACATCTACGGTGAGCCAAGTTCCTGCGACAACAATTATATTGGCTTCCAAGACCTGAATTCATTGGAAATCAAAACACATTGACTAGGTGTTTTTGGAAATACAAGAAAACTTTATTCATGATGGACAGGTATTTTGCTGTCTGACCACGATTCTTTACTCAAGATGGTAGACAATCTACTGGGACGGGGAACAGTCTTCATACAACTGATGGGTAATAGTCAAACGTCGAGTCGATTCCCCTAATCGATTTATTTATTTTTCGATTGTACGTAGGGGAAAGCTGATTGTCTGGGTTTAAAGAGGATAACGAATACGAAATATCCGTGACTGCTACTCTCCAAATTCCTTCCTATGTTACGACCTAAAATCCAGTGAAGCGGGAAACAGAGTGACATGACGCGAATGTTTATCATGATTATAGACCGATGTGTTATCACATATGATATCACTGGTTCTTGTATATGTGCTCACGATTATTTTGTCAAGTGTGTCAGACGTCACCACTATAGACCTATAAAGTTACTTATTCTCGGGATCTATGTACCACAACTGGCTTCTTAGTCTTCGCTTAATGATACTACAGACAGGCCCTTCATTAACTTTATCCGAACCTACCACTGACCTTTTTGTAGCACTGTCAGTTGATCAAATAAAAAGATTATATGGAATATTCAAAGTCGAAAATGATCAGTACTAAGATTGGTAATTACACACCGGCAGTAATGAGTAAACTTTAAGCGGCAAGTGTTCTGACTCCCATGTCACTTACTGATAGTAGCGCAGATGAACTACACAAGTTATTTGTAACAGCAACCGTGGTTCACAATGCCTGTATAAAAATAATAACAATGGTGATAACGCACTAGAAACCTTCCATAACCAAAACACGACAAGTCTGTCAAGCAATATTCTTCTAGTATAAAACCAACTATGAGACAGACAAAAGGGAACAGAGCTTGACTTCAATGTAACCAACGAAAATGGATGAACTGGCACTGTACCATGGACTCCTGACAGATTTCAACTATGAAGCCAGGTATCCTTATGAGATACGTAATGAATTAGTGTGGTAAGCTTTCAAAGTACAACACAAATCGCCACTTGCTCAATTACGTCTATATAATGGGACTGCTTTGAACGTAAAAATTGAGTTCCCAATCAGAGAGAAAACAAAACCTTCAATTATACATTAAAATAGGAAAACCGATCTAGTTTATTTAAGTGAAAGTATTAAATTACATGAAAAGATTGATAGCGTTGCGGCGCAAATTCACTTCAATCGGGTGGGCCTCAAAGTAGTCGTTGTCAATCCAATAAAACTCGTTCTATAACAATGAACATATATGTACATATAAATTTTGAGTAGCAGAGAAAGAATTTAAAGTGAACAAACGAATTAACAGAAAAAACCCCAATAAACTATATAAGTAAAGATAGAAATAAGTACAAAAAACCACTGATAATGACTACACAAATCGATACATAGAAAAAGTCACAGTATCCGAGACCACGTTAGTTATAAGAGGTGATAACGAAAAACATGTAAATGTCGGACCTTCATCAAATTACATGTTAGATGCCAACAGTTGAGTTTGAAAAATTTAGATATTTAAACAAACGGAACAATAAGATACAAGTTTTTAACAATTACCAAATTATCATTCGATTGTGTTTCATTTGAGTCGAACAATTAAAAAACCTCGTTTTTAAAATTTTAGAGGCTAAATTAATTCGTTCGTCAGTTTAGAAATTTAGATAATCAACAACTCGGACTAATTTGATGCCTTGATTTTTCATAACTTTCGCAACTCTATTACTAGAATTAAATCACTAAGAAATATTCACCAGTATATAATCTCCGCTTGTCTCTTAATCAACAAAAACACTGAAATTTCGGCACAAGGTTCCTATTGTTCAAACGAATGAACAAATAAACATTGTAAACCAACATTCATGAAACAAAATAAAGATATGGTTTAGCTTGATAACAGTTTGATAATAGAGAAGCGAAAAAAGCTCACCTCGGTTTGACCAGGAAACAAACGCAATTTATCACACAATATTACCTGACTACCAGATTTAAATGAATACGGTTGAGAAAGGAGCCATGAACGAAATTGTTGTATATGATCCCAATAGCTGGTGGAACAACGCAAAATATCCAAACGAATGTGATCCTAAAGACATATACACTTTTATTGGTACATATTTAAATGGATTACACAAAACTACCAAGTGTGTATTTAAACGTGAAACGGACCATTGATTATCTAATTTAATTAATTAAATCACTTATTCACTTGTAACACACATATTTTCACCTCCTAATAACTTTCTTATCTCTACGACTGACCCTCCCCACGTTCCTTTATCACCTCGCGCCGCTAATGCAAACGATTCGAGTGCGCGAAATGTTATTCTCGGTCTCCTGAAACCACGTTCTACTAAACCCGGAAAGATAGGAACAATCGTCGTTGCCTCTTCGTCGTCCCCGCTTACTCTCCTACTAACTGTAGCACAGATGAGGTAAAAGATTAGTTTTACAGAAAGCTTTCTGACCTCCTCCAAAGTGTTAGGCGCTCTGATGTAGTAATAGTGGCTGGTGACTTTAATGCTCAAGTTGCACTTTTACCGCAAGACTCACTTTTTGACCTAGAATATGCCGATGACATAGTTCTATTTGGTGAAGACGCTGACAAAATCCAGTCTTCTGATCACTATATGAAACAATGCAAGCATGTTCAGCATGCGATTTTCTCTCTCGAAATGCACAATTTTGCTTCAGGATTGGGTTGCATCGACACCCGAACTAATGATAGGGAGTGAAGTAATTGAACTTGTCAACCGCTTCACTTATCTTGCAAGTCTCATCAGTCTTTGTGGTCTGGTGTGTGATTAAATCTCAGCACGGATACAGAGGGCTCGAATAGCTTTTGACAACTTGAGTCATTTATAGAGTAGACGAGATATCCGTCTACCAATCAAAGAACGTGTTTACTGCACAGCAGTTAGTTCCATCCTACTTTATAGCAGTGAAACATGGCCAGTAACAGTAGAGGATATCCGTAGGTTACTAATATTCGATCATAGGTCTCTTCGAAGCATTGCTCGTATATCCTGGGACCACCGAGTAAGTAACGCAGTTGGTAGGAAATGAGTACCACGTAAGATGACAAATAGATTGATGACGTAGTAAAACTTGATCAGTTGAGATGGCTGGGACATGTGTTACGTATGCCCAACCACCAACTGCCTCGAGGTGCGATGTTTTATGGTGTAAGAGTAGGTTGGAAAGAAGCTAGAGGCAGTCAGGCCAACACATGGCACAAATCCATGAAGTCACTGACAAGTGGACTGAGTTGTGTTGGTAGGTGTAGACTAACTAGTTGGGATCCGCGAGACGATAGCAACCTATGGTTAGAGACCTTGAATGACAAAATCGTTTGCAACAGCGCAGGTGCATCCACTCTTTGTGTACTCCCAAATTCTAATCTTCTGAATTATTCATGTCTCTTTTTTTCTCTCTTCAAATTTATTTCACTGAATTATACTCCTTGAATAACATCTCCAAACCATAATCTTTCCGATTACTGCTTACACTTTTACTACCTCTACCACCATGGGGTTTGAATGGACAATCGTATCTGTGTGCTAATGTGGTATGGCAACTCAAACTGATGTACGTACGCACGAAGTTCTACGTTGTTACTGAGTGACTGAATACAGGTTTTGATTTACGATTATCCATACAATAATTTATTAAATAACGTCCACTTATTATTTTTCATCACCACTCCTAGTATGAGTTACTAAACAGAATAATCGATATAAGGATTGGTTATGGTGTGGTATTCATTAAAACATGAAATACAGGCATTGGTAAGGACGTGATTTATTTATTCAGGTCAAAACAATTTCAACAAATGAAATACGGTTTCGAACCTTGCTCCATCTAATGAGGTTTGGATGATCAGTTTTATTTAATATTAGACTAAGAGAATGATTTATAACCCTGGTCCAACTGCATCAATTTAGACAACTGGTTAGTATAGTTAGCTTTCACATTCAGCACGTGGCTTGAAGGTAACTACACTAACCTGGGCCTAGTAAATGAGATAATCTAACGCTCAAACATAAGAAATAATTGCATACAGACTAATAAATGGAAGTCGATAGATAATACAAGTAACAACAAGATCCTGATTTCTGTTTTATTGTCTTCTCCGTAAGAAATTCCCAGTGAATTTGAACTACTGCTAGAGGACATACACTGAATACTTAGGCAGGTAAGAAAGAATTGTGTAGAATGGTTAGAGGCGATCAATAGGAAATCGTGAGCAGGATTTCATGCTTGTAAGGAATTATCGGTAATATGTATTAACAAGACATGAAACATTAGTTTACTAATGATCGAAAATAAACCTAGGTGGCGATTGCCGGCAAAAACGATATTTTCATTTAAAATAACCTGCCAGATGCTTTCAATCATACATCAACAAATGTCACCATACAGCTGATTGACTTCATTCAAAAAACACCATTAATTTGAGTGACTAAATTCGGTTAACAGATTAGATTATCTCGAAATTGGATTGATTACCAAAGGTGACAAGTTTAACATAGCATATAAGTTTATGCATAACTAAACATACTACATGAATTCCTCACTAATACTCCATGATGTCTTCCTTGTTGAAATATACCAAAGAAACAAGTCCTGATCACAATGACTTGTTAATAATGTTTGACTACATACTCCAATCTACTACCCCCATAACGTTTAGTTGGATTGGTGAGGCGGTCTCTTGTGTATAACTGAGGCTAATGCTCCAGTCAGTTAGTCACATATAACATAGAACCTGACACATGTGTGTCAGTTCAAGTTGCCATATAACATAATCACACAGAGATAGAATTATTAAGACAAATATCAGCATCGTAGAAGTATTGACAATATCAATAGTAACCAAAAAGATTAGGTGTTGAAAAGAAACAAAAAGGTATAGGATTTAGAGAAAATAAAGTGTATGAACCTGTGCCACTGAGCACGAGTCGGAGCCATATCACACAGTCTGTAACCATTGGTTTCGACACTCACCCCGACTTCAACCAGATAATATGCACCTACCTACACGGCTCAATGCAACGGGTTAATGACTTTATGGACTGATAACACGTTCTGGTTTGGTCTCCCCCAGCTTTCTTTCAGCCTACTACACCAGACAACATTGCCCGTCGAGACAGGCAGTCGTTGGGCATACATGTTGTAATCACTTCAATTGATGAAGATACACTACCTCATTAACCAATGACTAGTGTTCCGACACAGATACAGATTGATTTGATATCCATTTTACAAATAGGATGGTAAAAAAATCAATAAAGAACAATTATCATTTACAGCTATTCAAGTCACTGAATAATAATGAAACTGGTAAAAATCTGTTTTTATAACAATAAAACTCATAAATTTACTGCCATACACAGACTTACTCCTTCCGGAGTGATTGTGAATCCAGAAGCCTTTTCAACGATTAATTCCTTTAGTTCTCCACATGCAGGATTATCTATGGAACTCTTAGCTTTGATTTCTTGTTGAATTTCTATACTTTTCACTTCATCAATATTTGATTTGTTATTATTACTGCTTAGTGAGAATCCAAATATTCTTCCTAATAGAGATGATGATTTCTTTGTATTTACTTCGAGACCAGATTCTTTATAACTCTGTCCATCAAAAATAAAGATGGTTATTTCAAAGAAATTTGTTGAATAATAACCATTTTGACAAACATTAAGAAGCAATTTAAAATTAGACTGGATTGAGTGAAATTAGAACTGACAGGGAAAAATTAAAAGCTAACTATAGTACGAATTATATTATTTATCACTGAGTTCCTGAGTGCAAGAAAACGAAGCATTATCATTGAAATTCACTTAACTGACTTATTTTCTAGTATTTAGAGAATGTTTTGTTGCAATAATCGTTAAATTAATAAAAACAGTTGATTTCTTGGTTTTTATTTGATAAAACATTTTCAAGTATCACCAGTCAATATGTTAATAGAAATGTATACACTAAAATGAGGTGACAACATACGTATTACTAATGATTATCATAGTCAAACTAATTTATAAAAAATAAAAGAGGAAGTTAATTGTCACTAGTTTAATAACATGAAATACTAAACACTGATGGCGAAAAAAACACATTTAAGTGAGGCGAAAAACCAGACTATTATATTTCGTCATCGATAAGCTAACTATGCCCTGTTAGGCTGTCGTAGGTAGACGACAGGATACCCTTGACCTAAATTTCGTGTCAATTTCAATATTGAGGGAAACGGTGCTCCGCACACGATCTGAACACAAGTTACTAGGTCACAGTTTAAGATATAGTGATGAGCCGTTTATACGGCGACTGATTTCAGATAAAACTAGGATATACACATCAGTTCATCATTAAGTAGTAATTAATCTTGTGCTTGTCTAGTCCTTGGTTCTGACTAAATTCCAGTTCCTCTTATGTAACCACTACAATCTATCAGCATTAGTAAGTAGGCGTCTAAATATGATAAGGTACTTACCATTAACTTCTTCTCCCAACATTTCGAACATCCTGTACAAATTGGAGTATAAATAAGGCGAGCGAATTTCACACGACTTTTTTCCAGCTTTTTTTCAGATATAGTGACTGGAGAATCTGCGAAAAAATTCAATGAAGTTTTAGAATCACTATGAGGATATATTTGAGCATTGTTTTCAGATGATCGAAGCCAATACCAAGTAGATCTCCACAATGCACCAAAATTACGACTCCAAGATCTAGGAGACGAAACTGAAAGTGTTGTGAGTACACCACGGTGATCGTTAGGATTTGTTGGCTTTTTATGCCTATCACTAACACCACAACCCCCACCAAGTTCTATATCTCTCCAAATATTCCATTCAATACCTAATAAAGAATAAGTATTCGCAGATGACGCCTTTGATTGTTCAATTGGTTGACTATCCTATTTGAAAAGTTATAAACAAACAATTTCAAAACATTATGTGTCACCTAAATAAAATGATTTCCATGTACAAATTACATGATAGGTAAGAAATGTGTAAAAAGAATGATACTTTGTAGATTAGATTGATTATTTCAAAAAGCTTTTTAAATGGCATAGATCACTTTGTGATGTAGCCAGGATGAATACGGAATTCAGACTGAAGGCATATACCACCAAGTGTGTTTACACAATAAGTTGAAAAGATTTTCGTTTGTATTCTCATGAGGTTTAAGAACAAATGCTGATAATTACTGGTACTAATCAGTTGATTTACAAATAATTTAGTAAGCCCATTGTTCATGAAGATGATGAAACACTAGTTAACATATTCCTCTAATATTTCAGCTTTTCTAGATTATTTTAATTTATCCACATTTTACTTCTTCTCTTAACCAATGAAGGAAACTATTTCTATCTTCTCCTATGCTTGGCTAACTAGAGTAAGAAATTCAGCTGTTGTAGAGAAGCTTTTCTGATTGAGATCCAGTAGAATTCAAAATACATTTAAGATCAGTGATACATTGATTTAAATAATTAATTTAGGAACTGAGAGATTTTCAGTCAGCACACATCACGAAAATACGCCGAAAAATTTACACGGTGTATAAATTAATCATTAGATACCCGATATATTACATCAACCTTTAAAATAAACGTTTTAACGGAAATTCTCTCAAATAACTAAAGTTATAATGAAATTAAGAGAGAAGGTAACTGTTATAATCTCTTTCTTACGGTTATGACCCAGCTATTCCTATTGCTTAGTATTCTCGGACACTGATTCACTCGACAAGACCCCAAATCAGAACACAGTTGAACAGGAAAGAGATTATATTCCAAATAACAAGGTTAGATGGAAGCAAGATGCAAGCACAATAGGGAAAAACATCAGTATATTTATAGTTTTTACATGAGAAGATTCTAGTGTATTCTCCAACTGTCGACTGGTGCTCATTGGATAAGAATTGGCCAATCAGCGTGCACCAAAGCAATCATGCATTGAGCATGCTTTAATCCGGCCTATGTCCCGCTAACAGTAACATATTCACATACATGACTATTTAAACTTAAACTTATGAATCAACCGACTTCTAAACGTAAAATGAGAAGCATACTCACAAAACGCCCAGTAGTTCATGGGAGTTGAACTGACAATATGAGTAATTCGAACTATTATATGTGTTAAAATTCCATTTTTAAAAACATATTTTATTCGTAATGCCAAGTTGTAGTAGGTTTTACGTGGATTCAATAAATAAAACTGTGTAGATTATAATTATATCACAGAGAACAATTAATCAGAGAAAAAAGCGACATTTACTAAAACTATAAACTCACGTCTGAAATAACTTTTACTTCCAAAACATTTCTCCTTTTAGTATTCTGTTGTAGGACAGAATGTAAAGCGTTGTAAAACCATCTACAATGATAATAAACATTAACAAACTAGACATGTTAGACTTTGATATTTATTTGATGAAAGGTTAAGTAGTGAACAAACGGATTCATCAAAACATTCAGATTCTAAAAATGTCAATCAGTCAGTCAGTAACAACGTAGAACTTCGTACGTACGTACATCAGTTCGAGCTGCCATACCACATTAGCACCGAGATGCAGTTGTCGATTCAAATCCTATAGTAGTAGAGGTAGTAATTATATGTCAAACAGTAATCCAAAAGATGAAGTACAATATGAAGTTCGTTACGGGCCAGATCCTGAAATAACCCTCAATATTGCTTGCTAGCAATAAACTTAACAAACATTTATTTCATATGCTCAACGACTTTGATGAATTAGATTGTTCCTTTTAATATTACCTATCCACACCTATTCAGATCAAACTAACTAATATCATGCTCAAATTCGAAATAAAAGTCAAGAACATTGAAATATGAAAGTGGATAAAAAGTGTACAAGGATAAATTATATTAGCTTACTTAGGGACAACTGTTTTTTCACAGATAGAGTTTATAAGCCCATTCCAAATACCTACGGGCACCGCTCCGACTGGCAATGACCACAAAGGAGTAGTCTGTGACGATTTGTTAGCTATGAGATCCAACTTACTTTAAAATCGTCCCGGGATAACAAACTTGTAACTGCCTAAACAATGTGCGTTATGACAAGGAAAATACTTTTTGGATCAAATTGTCGTCTCCAACAACTAAAACACCGTCAGTACTGCTCGGATCTAGCACTTTTATGAAGTCCTTTATTTCAGAATCGGTGTCCAGATAAACCATTTTAACGTCAAGACCAGATAGGTTTAAAATAGGAGCAGCATTGTTTTCAAACTCTTTTAAAAGTCCTCTGGAAAATAGAATATTAGCACATACCCACGACGCGAGAATGGATTTACAAACACAGTCAGGCTGCGTAGAGGTTGTGTGCTATTAACGGTCTTGTAATTTTCTGACTACATAATCATAGGCAAAGGTGAGTGACCTACAGATACATGGGAGCATATTTCTCGGTGCAAAACGTAGTCTCTATTCAAATGAGCAGGAGTAAAATAAAAACGTACCGATATTTTTCTCCCGTAAAGTTATAACAATAGACTAAACATAGTGTCCCAGCTACAAGCTTTTTCGGATGGGTCGCGGCTACACGCCAAACCGCAGACATTAAAAATTGCGCTGTCACAAACATCAAATCTTTATCGAATTTAGTCTTCAGTCTTTAGTAATAAGGATAGGAGGTCTATCGACCTATATTAATCCTTGCAGTTTGTTATACTGTGAAGGTTCAAACTCTTTTTGAATATATTAACAGACGGTGCTGATATTACATGTTACAGAACTCCAGACGTAAACGGTTTGACTCGGTTTTTGAACTTTCTTCGAATGTCCTCTCAAATGATCGGTTCTAGACGGAAGCAAAAGATAAGACATGTTAATACCAAGGTCATCGTTCAGTATACGATAAGCCAATATTAGATCACCCCGTACTCTACGGTAAGATAACGGAAATAAGTTAAGGTGTCTCAGTCTGTCTTCATAAGATAGGCCAGCTAGACCTTGTACCATCTTAGTAGCTCGTCGTTCGACTCTTTCTAGCATATCTGCTTCATATTTAAAACAAGGACACGCTGCTTGAATCACTATTCTAAATGTGGTCGCACATAATTCGGGTATAGTAATCTAAACATTTCATCATCTAAATACTGGGAAGACCTACGAATTTACCATTATACCCTATAGCCTTTTGCAGCAGCAGCCTTACAGTGACTAGTGGTTTTGAGATCATTGCTTAATATGACTCCTAAATCTTTATAGTTTCTGGCTTTGGGTAGCACGAATCCACGTAGTGTATAGTCATACGATTCATCAGAGTTATTTAACTGCATCACTACACTCTTATTAGGATTTACTTTTAGTGACCATCTGTCTAACCATGCCACCAATGAGCTAAGATCGTCCTGTAATACTATTCTATCCGACATACTATGTATGGGTCTCCAAATCTTTATGTCATCAGCGAAGAGTAGAACGGATGATTTTGCTACAGTTGGCAATTCATTTACATAAAGTAAAATGAGAAGAGGACCTAGGATTGTACTTTGGGGAACCCACGAGGAGAGAGCCCCATTAACCCTTACCCTTTGTCTCCTCTCATGGAGAAAGTTACTTATCCAATCGACGACTGTATAATGGATTCCAAAACGTTCCAGTTTGAATTTAAGACCAGAGTGCGAAACCTTTACAAAGGCTTTACTTAGATCTATGAAAATCACATCCATAGGAGCATTTCGATCCTTTGCCGCAGCCCAATCTTCTCGTGCAATGAGAAGATTTGCCAAGCAAGATAGGCCTTTCCGAAAGCCATGTCGTACCCTGGAGAAAAGATTTTGCCCTTCAACATAGTTGATAACAGCTATCCGAATGATTGTCTCCATCAGTTTTACAACTGCACTAGTTAAGCTAACGGGTTTATAGTTACTAACTAAAACCCTACTCCCAGCCTTATACACCGGTCTTATTATGGCGTCTTTCCAGTCTCAAGGCAGTCTGGACTGTCTCAGAGACATGACGAATAGTATCGCTAATGGTTCAGCAATTTCATATGGTATGGCTTTCATAATAACCGCTTCGGACTATACCTAGAATCCCTAACCAGTTGTTTTTCGTATGAAAGTCCAGTCGTGCTTATTTACAGGCATTCCTAATCTTACAATAACGGGATCTGTATTATTCTAAGTCAGTAGAGATGAACATATTCCAGTGGTTCTTTCTTTTTCTAAGGAGTTTCCTGACCGTTCTGGTTATCCATGGTGGACTGTTATTCGGTCTTTGCGGTATTAATTCGAAACATTAAAGGAGTTGCTTAATAAATACCAAGTTGTGCCATTTTATTAATAATTCTGAGTTCCCTAAAAGGATACAACAATCGGTTATATTAATGACTGAGTGAACACTAAAGTTGAACAGTTACTAAACGATAGCTCTTTAACATGTAATTCACTTGTCATGTGCAATAACTCATAGTCACCACACTCAGTATTCTTACAATGATATAAAAGGTCTAAACGTAATGGACATGTTCCTTTGTACTCTCGTTTTTTTCTCTCACTTATCTGTTAACTTACCAGGTAATGTATTTTCAGTAAATATTCTCGTTAGTGATTCCCATTTGGATATTCTGACCAATTCGTCTTAATTTTCGGAAGAGTGTATTGGCAAACAGATCCACAGAATAAATAACTTTTACGCATCCAACATCGATACTAGATTCGCCTTACTGGAGGCGCTCCGTCAAGCACCGAGACCGGATTACGTCTCGACTTACCGCTGAACGAATTTCCTCCGATAGCTCGACAATATAGGAGTTACAAGCTACAGTGCTTCTATCTGTAATCAAAACATCTAGTTACTGAATTGCCCTCGAATTTTGCAACTATACTGCGAAAATTACGATTGGAGGAGCTTGGACATTGGTATGATGCTGTAGATGTAAATAAATCCCCAAAATAAATAGTTCTGTAAGTCTTCGACTTTGGATGCTGACCACATTAGTTTTAATAGACTCACCTAGCTGAATGAGCCCGATCATGTATCCGCACCAGATCACGAGTGGGAACGCCGCGCTCAACACCCCCTGCAATCGCTAGCCAGATTAGATCAGATGATCCTTGATATATTGATAGCCTATCAAACATATCTTCGAACGCCCTCGCTTCTGTCCTTTGATTTCACTTGGTGGGTAAGGTTCATGTTAGGTGTTACTGGTTAAAGAGTTGTCAAACTCCGGATACCTGTGGCATCTTCATTGGTGAGCCCGACGTGATCTGGTACACCAAATTGCAAACTGTGAGCCTGTTCCTTTTTTGGACTTTATATATCATGGCCTTATTTTAATTTTTTATGCATTTGTGTTATTTTCCGTGTTTTTGGATATATATATATTTCAGTCGTTCATTCTTGTACTTCATATTTCATCATAACTGAACAGACACCCAAGGTACTTAAGTTAAAGAGTATTTCCTCACCTTCGTTTCAACTAATGCTCTTCTAGCCAGGCAGCATTGAAGCCTGGTTCTGCTACGCAGAAGATGACTTCTACGATCGACACACGTGCAAAATTCCTCGCAGTAGTCAAGGCACTACAGCGCAGGTACGTAACACCTAGCATGTTCACTAGTGATGTTTCGGAACCCTACGAAACGTTTAAACGCGGAGACCTAACTGATCGACTAAGGTTAGACCAACTCCTTAGTAACATCAACCTGCAACACGATTCTGCGGCAGACATGTTGCAAAGACTGAGAGAGGTTATCGGCCAGAGAATTTTTGATGGTGGCCTATTCAAACAACTTTTATTGTCCAAACTTCCTCAACAGGTGCAAGTTGTACTGGCCGCCTCTTAGAAATCACGAAATCTTCTGATGCACAGTTTTTTTCAGTCAAAGAGATGCCTCAAACGACCCAGGGTGACATTACAGAGTTATGTCATACACCTACATGTTGTCTTAAATTTCGTAACGACCGTAAACGGTCACATACCCTGCGAAGAAGCACTTCACGTAGGCGATCTGTCTCTAGACCACGGGAGACGGATAACCCGGCTGGTGCTGGTATCATTATCAGTATAGAAAGTCCTCCGGAAATTGCAGAAAACCCTGCAGTTTTCCCGACCCAACATCGACCGACTCGAAAAACAACTCAAGGAACTTCCAAGCTGGCACGCGTTAATGGCAACCGTAGCTGACGAATATAGCCGTCTGTCATACGTCACAGATGTGATAACAAGAGTTCTCTACCTCGTCTATACCGGCGCAGAAGTTGGCGTTCTTCCAGCGACTTGTAACGACCGTCTTCACAAATCACGGAAAGCCTATCGCTGCGTGTGGCAAAAAGTACATTTACCTTAACGTCGGTTTACGCAAACCCATTTACTGGAATTTCGTTGTTGCCAATCATTGATATAGACCTTTTACAACATCAAAATCTAATCATCAATACGCTAGTAACCGGAAACACTAATTTATCTGCTTACGTAACTTCTTTTTCTGATTGCAGATTATCTCCACCCACAACTAGGCACACGATAGACCCATTTAACCAACCACTACTCGATAAGTATCCTGACTCATCGTATCGTAACAGTTAACAATATGACACCTAGTACTTCAAAATAACACATTTAAACTGAAGATAGGATAATACATACTTCATATGAATAA